CATGGTTTGAGTTTAGTATGAGTCATGAATTTTTATCATATAAAATTCTAGTTAAGTGAGAATCACTAGTTCACCGCCACTTGATTATGTATTGTATAGATTGTATTGAATAATAATATTATTATACGATAAATTAACGATTTGTTTAGCAATTTTTTACATAGGGTTATATAACGGCACGTAAATGGTTTTATGTTTGTTTATCAATTAATATATTTATGGGTCTTTTGAGTTATATTACACATTTTTCTTTAGTATTATCATATGGATTATGTTGTGAATGTATATTAGAATTCGAATTTGATGGCTCTATATGATTATATAATTGTGCTGTAAAGCCTGTAATGATTGCCTTGAAAATATATCGTGACACCGAAGCCGTCAAATTTGGTTTTGGAAAAGATGAGGATGACTAATTCAAATTTGGTCTCTTCGTGTACGAAGTCGATAAGAAATAGTAGGCCAGTGTAAAGCGGTGTATCACATTAAAGCAGATTTGTCATTTTATGACAAGTTGGCTTACATTATTACATCATTATTATTACCACTCATAGCAAAAAAATGGCATAATTACACAAATTCATAGTATTTTTCTAACTACGGATATAAATTTGCAACTTACAAGTACGCTTATAGCTTTACGAGTTTAAAACTTACATAAATTAAGGAACTTATGTTTGGGTTTTTTTTTCTATAAAACGAATTTATTATTTGTTTTGTCAATCTTAGGGTGAAGAGTTGTTGATATGTAGCCTTGACTTAGAATGTTGGAGACTGTTCCTTTGGAAAAGACTGAAGAAAATGAAACTCAACATGTTTAAACAAGACGACAAGCGAACACTCATAGACTTTTTGAGAAAGACTTTTTCTTACTGAGTTTCTATGTTTTGGAGCTTGATTTTTCTTTGAACGGAAGACAAAAAAATATTCTTCTTTGAACCGAAATCTTTGGCTGTATTTTGTGGGATTTTTATAATTGCCTTATAAAAACATTTGGTGTATTTAAGAAAGTTACCCTCAAAAGTAATCATATTATGAAATAGTCTTTGTTTAAATAGTCAAGATAATAGGGAAATGATAATTCTAATGAACAGTTAATAAAAAAATCAAGATAAAGTTGTACATATATGGTTTAAATGGTAACAGCGGAATCTGGCTGAATTACAGAATATGGCTGAATTTTTAGTGATTTCTTGCAGATTCTAGCAAAATATCTTAAAATGTAAACCTCTGAGACAACCCTACCCGACATACTCGAAAATAAAAGTACTTCAAGCCAGATTCAGATATATCTACGGATCTACCCATTACAGTTAACCTACTTTACAACAGCCACTGATCTTGTCTAAAGTTTCCAGAGACTTTAGATTCCTAAAGATATACGAGTTAAAAAACTTTCATTTCAGCTTTTTGCAAGAGATACTATATCATTCACTGATGCCTCTGAAAGATAATTCCAAAGGTGAGTCTTATCATCATCAAATTAATTGCCACTAACATACGATGTGATAAACCTTATGATATGAGAAATTTGGTTGGAATCAAATAGAGATGGATTAAAGATGCTTTAAGATCACACTATCGGTGCATGGTATGGTGCATGGTATGAAGTGAACCCATCACAAAACCGATAACTTGTCACACATAGGGATGCTATTAAGGGCTAAAAAATGCAGGGTTAGCCCGGCCCGTACATTTATATTTAGGCCATGGCCCTGTGTTTTGTATATAAAAATTTGCAAGTTTGTCATAGGCCGAATTTGTAAAATCCACGGGCTAAAACAATTGGCCATGTTAACTTGTCATTAGGGTTTCAATATGAAACAACGTCGTTTGATTTTTTTTCACTTACGAAGAACTCCTTCTATCTGCGTTTGTTGCGATTTCAACTTCGTTTCTTCTCTCTGATTTTTCTTCACTTATGATTTCAACTTGGTTGGTGGAACTAAAATTAGCAGGTTCGTTTGCTTTAATTCTTCTAAGTTTTAGCTTTTATCAG